CTCCTGGCTTTTGAAGCAGCTGCCTTTATCTACACAGCTTGCTCTTCCCTGGCGTGTTGAAGCCTTCCTGCTCTTGTTTATTATACAGCCCCTCCAACAGCTTGCAGGGGCTCTTCTCTGCCGTCTGTCCTTCTTGGCTGGATTCCTCTCCGCAGCTCCAGTCCAGAGCAATGGCCTGCACAGCACATGGCCCTCGCTTTGCTGCCAGGCCTCCACTCACACGGCTGCTGCAAGGGCCAGCCAACTCTTAGTCTCTTGGGTGATGCAGCCCAGGTGTGCAGGACAGCTCTTTGGCACCTGGAACAAGGATTTAAAAGAAAAAAAAAAGGAAAAAAAAACTACATCAAGGTGCAAACGGGATTTTCAAAGCCTCTGTCTCACCCGCATTTAATCCAAAGTGAAGTGTGATCCAGTTCTTGGGAGCACTAGCAATATGGACCCCTTGATGCCTTATAACTTTGAGTTCAGGCCAGCATACATCTCTCTGGTCTACACAACTGTTTTTTTGTTTTGTTTTGTTTTTCTGATCTGGCTGAAGGATGCAAAGTTAAAAAGGGAGGCCCACATATACACACACAGAAAATCTAATTGTGTAAGCTTTATTTCCCTAGGAAACCAGGCTAAAGAAACAAAAGTTACACTCCCAGTTCTATCCTGGAGCTTAATTTACTGGCCTGGTTTTCAAGCTTAGAATATGCAGCTAATCCTATAGCTTTAGTATTGATGTGAAGCCAACTTCTGGGCTTCTGTTTGTTAAAACTACCCATGGTTCTCTGCCCTTTCTCTTCCCGGTGCATGTGAGATCCACAGATAGAGATAAATCCTTAAAGCAGGAGCTTCAGAGGTTACTGATGCTAAATAATTAACCACCAATGTAATATTCATGGTCCTTTGCCCTTGCACAGCAGCAGTGTCTCTCCTTGGAGGACCTCAAAGCACGCTCCGGATGCGGTGTTGGCGAAGCAGCCCTGGACTTGTGTGCGTGGTAAGGGCCGATGCCAAGGGCTTTTCCAAAAGACAGCCCCAGCAAGCCACAGACAGTCCTAAAACCCTGGTGCTAAGGTGGATGCTCGTGTAACCATGTGCCCTTATCTACCATGTGAACAGGACCAGCACAGCACCACTGCTTTAATGAGGAACATGGACTCGGTGCAGGGCGCTCTGCCTCAGACCCCACTCAGCCAATAGTGTAGGCAGCTTCCCCTCATCTAGGAAACCTCCATGAGTGAAGTGCATGGAAAGGAGGCCAGATTCTGGCCTTAGCAAGCAGTGCACACTTAGCTTTGAGTGTGTGCTTAAGCTTATTATTAAGCCTTCTCCTCCAATGGAGATGGTTT